GTGGTCGGAACGAGGGTCTTGCGCTGATTGCCCTTGGCTCGAGGGAGCGAGTGGCCGCCCTAAATGGAGGATCGTGAGCAGGGAGTGATGGGTGTGCAGGAATAGTGCAACTTACGACATCTTTTCTCGAGCTGTTCAAAAAATCGACCTTGACTGCAGCCTTTCTGAAATTTCCTGTAATGTGGGCAAGACTGTCCTCGACCGCAGGAGGGAGGACAGCAGCGGGAGTTACGTGAGCGGAACCCCACTTGGCCTCCCACTCCTTACGGAGCAACTCTTCATAATCCTCTGCGGTAAGGGACTCGCCCTTTCCGACCTCTGCGAGGAGAGTGAAGAATTCGTTGGCAAAGCGATGGAGAGCCATGCCATCACCCAGGAAGTGGACGGCACAAAAAAGAATATCATATCCGGCCTCGTCTTGATTGGCAGGCGAAGCCTTTTCTGAGAGAATGAGGCAGGACAGCTTGTCGTCTCCGAGAATTCGGTCGCCGTTGAGATACTGATGGATGAGTTCATCTTTTGATAGGTCTTTACGAAGGTGGAGGAGAGCTGAGGCTTTGGTGAGAGCCTCTGCGGGCGAGGATGGAGCGGTGTAGGAGAACTTGACTTGGGAGTAGTCGGTATCAAAGGGGGAAGCGGCGGATGGAGGAGGAATAACGCGGGCTGCAAGCGGGGGGTGGCGGAGGAGGAGGAGAGCCCAGGCCGCAAGGACACGCTGTTCAGCGAAGAGTCTACGAGGAGCAGAGAACCCCAGGTGCAGATACCTGAGACGTCACGAGCAATTGAAGGGGGGTCAGCTACCAGGGCTACAAGCAAAGGATGGACGACGTACATGTCATTTACTCCGTCAGCACGAGAAGGAAGGTAATAAGAGAGCTCTGTATCACCCATGAGACGCTGTGACGTGTGGGGCTGGGGCGCAGTGCTGTTTTCCTTTCCCTGAAAGGACGATGGATGAGATTTGAGGAGGCTCGACGGGATCAGGGGGACTCACGACGGCGAGAAGCATAGAAGATAGATCCCATGGAGTGATGGGAGCAGCAGAGACGGATGGACTAAGAGAGCGAGGACGGGTAATATCCTCGTGAACGGCAGAACGGGAGTTATCATGGAACGCCGGGGCCGAAATGGCCGACGCATGGGTTTGTACGGCAGTGGAAGGCATTGTGGAGTGAGGGGGAGTTTTATGGAAGGGATATATGGACGTTTAAAGAGTCGCTGGATGAGATGAAGGAGGTCGCGAGGGAGGAGGCGAGGCTGAGAGCGAGTCGTAATGAAAAGACATAGTTTACATATACCCTCAGCCTCAGGGCAGCCCTTTTTTTTTTTTTTACTATCTGTCCGCGTCTTACCATTCATGGGGATTTCCGGGACCTTGGGGTTCGCTGTCAGGGAAGTCGGTGGCAGGACGACGCCCGACAGCACGGCGTAAACTATTTCGCAGGACATGATAATACACATTTTAAATGCCTGCAACGTTGACGGACTCTATTGCGGCGTCGTGGGCAGCAGCTGAGCTTTCGCGGCCGGCGGGGGGAGAAAAAAAAAGAGCGATGAGGCACGAATGATGAGACGAGAATAGCGCGTGATGCAGAAAAAGGGGCGCTGCGGTATGAAACGCCACAACACAAATCTGTCGTTACCGAGATTTTGTCAGTCAAATCGAACCCTCGGTCGCCGGCCATCGGATTCTTTCACGTGCGGGCTAGTCAATGGCGATCGGTCTATATGTCCGTCCTCCATCATCAACAATCTCAATACGACGCTCTAATAAGCAGCGACGACGACCGCGACGAACGCTCAGCAGGTGTGCCAGCTCACACTTCCCCAACGCGACCAACAAGCCACTTTGTGATAAATTTAGTCTAGAGGCTTGGAACGCCCAGGAACCCTTCCCCTGCCCGAGCCTTGTGGACAGACAAGGGTCCGACGGATGGTCCATAAACTGATCAAAGGCAATTTACATTACGCCATTTCCAGACATTCCATAACGAGAGACTCTTGGCATCTCATCTAACTCGGCACAACGGCAGGGTCAGCTTATAAAAGGGCCGAACCGATGACGCTAGCTTAAAACAGAATATATATACAACCATCCCTTAATCACCCATCAAGCTTCGGTAGCGTAGCCGGTAGCGCGTCAGTCTCATATAACATGTGCGATCTGAAGGCCGTGAGTTCGATCCTCACCCGGAGCAACACTTTTTTGGCTGAAAGGTTATCCCTACATTGCGGTGGCTCTTGAGGCTTACCCTTTTCCCAACCTTCGGAAGCATTCCTTTACCTAACGAGTCACACCTAGCCTGTCTTTTCCGTCTGGTCATTTGACAGCCGTTATCGCTCATGGGGTCGGCAATAAGTTTGCGGAGAATTCCCTTGGAGCGATTCTGTCTACTCATCTTCCGTGCGAGGTCTACTCACTCTTCTGCTTTCTTGCTTTGGCAACCGCCAGTCGCCAGTCGCCACTGTTTTCGACGAGCCTCTCTCACCCTTGCCACGGAAACTTCGTCAATGGATGTTCCAAAAGAGAACACCCAAGCCCACGCGGATGAATGCGTTCCAAGATCATCCAGTCACCTTTCTCTAGTGAGTCGGTATACTCGCTTAAGCGCTTGTTTTAACGTCCCTCATGCTTTTCGTTTGGGTTAAAGCTGCCCTCTTCCGATGCCTCAAATCAATCTAATATAAGGATAATTTCTCAACCCTTGCATCCCTCTACGCCTTTTCTGATGCATCAAACCGAGCCTCGGCTGACAAGATACTCCACCCAGTCGATGTAATCTCCGAAATAGCGGGTTCAACTTATACTCGAGTGAGAGACTCGGCTAGAGTTTACAGATCAATGCTTATTCGAGAACTCATCAAGTTGCGTCCGACAAATCTGATCAAGAACTGGACTTGCGAGTGGATCGTGTCCCTTTAATCCTCAAACCATGCTCCTCAGCACACCGCAATCCCCTCCCTAGAGTGAATATATGCATGAGATCATGGGGAGCAATAAAGATGATCCATGCTGGTAAGTTTATTATCTGTCAATCTCGGAACCGGTGGCCGTCGCAGAGAAGGGTATTCACCTCATCGGAGCTGGAACTCCTCCTCTTGGTGGGATCGACCTATCATCTCTCCCCAAACTTCAGTTGACCGTAAAAAAGATACTACGATGCCACCAAATACACAAGGTTGCGACCGTAGGTCACAGTCTGGGAGGAGCATTGGCCGTTCTTGGCGAGTCGAGCCATTGGCTTCATAGAAATTCAAACGCGGAAGTCCTTGCAACAATTCTTCTCGTCCACACAAGTTTCCACCTTGTTACGTGTCGACAACAAGGATACCTGGATCTGTTGAGATTGTATTCGCATCATATTGAGGGTGTGATTCCAGGTCGGGAACCAAGAGTTCGTAGACCTTTTCGACTCTCGCGAGTCCGATCGTTGTAGAGGGCTAGTAGATTGTAACTTCCTTTTTCTTCGGCTTTGCTAGACACCTCCAGACTACCCACAATGAGGACGTCATTCCGATTCTCCCCGAGCAATGTCTCAGGCTCCACCACACGGATGGGGAGAAACATATTGATCCTAGAGAGTATACTGGAGATGCATAGGTGGCCGATGGATCCTGCTCGCGTTTGAGGCAAAGTTGCAAAGTCCAGGAAAACGAGGGATCCAAATCCGCAATGCTTTACCTGGAAGGCCAGTAGCATCCTGGTAGAAAGTATATCCAATCATACGATTATATTTACACCACACAGTGAAGGTCGATTGTGGGGGATCGACAGATATGTTGTATGACACGAAGGAGCCGGTGGCATCCTCATGATCACAGGCTAGGCGTGCAAGTAATCAAGATATTTTCAGAGCAAGATCGTAGACTCATATGCTCGTATATATTTGTGCTTTGTGCGCCGCATTACGCTGTGCTATGGCTTTCGGGAACTGAGAAGTACGGGTGGGCAAGGAGACGGAGGAGCGTTGAATTTGGACGTGATTACGTCAGGGGCTGGTTCAATCCCAAATTGCGAATACCACCGTCAGGCCCCCTCTCCCCTCCTCTCGTACGCGTACATGGCAGAAAGGCGCAACAAGGGCAAAGACGTCGAGACCTCAAATGTTCGTCCTAAAGAACTCAAAGAATCTCTGGCACCCATAGCGGACACGACTCCTGCAAATTCAGCGCTGTCAGCCGTGGGGAGCGCACTTGCAGCTCCATTTAGCCATGTACAGCGAAAGTCCAATGCGTCAAAGCTGCTCTCAGACTGTAAGAAATGAGCCCCAGACTGTTTTCATCTCTAACTGCTCATTGTTAGTGGCACCAAAGATCATGACCCCACGAATGATCACTGCCGCCGCCTCCTCTTCGCGTAACCATCCATCCAACTCCATCATCGCCCCTCCTGGACTCCGAGCCCTCGATTTCGCAACCCTCGGACGCGCTCCAATGCGTCTTTCTCTCGGCTCGCGTCGTATCACGTCTCGTGACTTGCAGATAGTAGAAGCCACCGACGAGTTGCTCGCGGCCGAAATTCCAGACCCTGAGCCGAATGGCGAAGCCGGAAACGTCAGCCTCCTTCGAGGTTTCAAGGCGACCATCCCAAGCTCGGAACAGAGCAAGTCAAGGCGGAGAAAGACCCGTAATGTTGACGCAGGGCATCTTGGACTTGCTGAACTGGGCAAGAGTGCACGCGGCATGCTTGAGGATGGAAGCGCTGCTTCAATCGACGTTGAGAACCCTTCAGACAGAAAAGGGAAGCGCAAACCTCGCCAATCGTTTGCTACAACTGTAACACTTGGGAGAGATGAATTAGAGAGGCAGAGAAGTGAAATCTTGCTGGATAAAGAGAATATTCACGTTCGAAGAGTGAGCCCTTTCCACTTTCCAAGGCTCTCCCTTCTTGCGCTTATTCCTAAATCAACTAGTCCCTAATAAATGCCGAAATAGACGAAATTTCACAAAAAATTGTTTCCTTAGACGCCGTCAGAAATCAGCTTCAGCAAAGTCTACTCCGGCTGCATGAAGAAGAATTGGAGCTTGACGAGGAACTGGAGAATGTCTTTGACCGACTTGCCTTTGAAGAGAAATCTGCTGGGGCGGCGTCTGCTACTGCTGCTCGCACTGGAAAGAGGAGGAAAGGGCCCGCTTTCCTGCCCTCCGAGCACGACGACCTCCCGCATGGTGTGGCGTTCATGGTACGTGAACGTTTGGGTCTCTTCGCACCAGACACTCACGCCTGTCCCAGACGCTCCCGGCACACTCCGCTCCCATCACGGCTCTAGACTTCTCGGAACCTTATGGCGTGTTAGTTTCAGCAGGTTTAGACGAAGCGACTAAAGTTTGGGATCTATGTACTGGAGAGGAGATTGGTCGCCTACGGGGGCATAGCGGTACATATAATCCAAGTCCCTATTCTCCATGGCATGCAACTGATTATTCGGGCAACCCCAGGCGCTGTCAAATGCATGCAAGTCGATGACAGCACGTGCGTCACTGGAGGTGCCGATGGAACCATTCGTTTGTGGGATTTACGTCGGGCAGGTGAAGATGACGACTCCTCGACACTTGGCGGTGCACCAGAAATCGTGAACTACTCAGACGCTGTCGAAGAAGGTCGAACGATGTCAGGTTCAAGTCGAGCTGGCGAGGAACGACAATCGACCACAGATGGGCCTTGCGTTCGGGTGCTAGAAGGGCATTCGAGAGGGGTTTCCGCTCTATATTTCGAAGACATATGCCTCGTACGTCTTGCAGTGTACCAAGATAGTTCGATCCTGACCGATTCTCGGACAGGTCTCCGGGGCTTCTGACAAGACTCTTCGGCAATGGGATTTATCGACTGGACAATGCGTGTTGACCATGGATATCTTATGGGCAATGTCGCACCCACCCTCTTCGTCGCTGTACTCGTCGACCTCCCTTGCGTCATCCTCCGTACTACCCAACATCACAGCGTCTAACTTCGCTTTCCCAACCCCACCATATGCAGACGGAAGTTGGGAAATGTATCAGGATTTCGTTGGTGCAGTGCAGTTTTGGGGTTACGCGCTCGTCAGTGGCAGCGGTGACGGTGCCGTCAGGATGTGGGACATGCGGACTGGCCAGGCGCACAGGACCTTGCTCGGGCACACTGCACCAGTGACTTGCCTACAGTTCGACGAGATGTACGTCGTCAGTGGTGGATTGGACAAAAGCATCCGGGTGAGCTGGCACTGCATTAGATTCGGCCGCCACCCTAAATGACATCATTCTGGCAGATATGGGATATTCGAACTGGGAACACCACCGAGACTCTCAAATACGACTATCCTGTGACGGATCTCCAATTCGATACCCGCAAGGTTGTCGCAGCTTGCGGCGAGAACGGTATAAAGGTTCGTCAAGGAGCCTTGAAGCCTGCTTGCCCTTGAATTTGACTGAGAGGATGTGTCAACCCAGATATACAACCGCACGACATTCCAACAATCCACGCTAATCGTTAACGGGCACACTAAGCCGGTGGAGAAACTTCGGTACATTGATCGCTATCTTGTATCGGGGGGTAGGGATACTACCGTCAAGATTTGGTCCCTGTAACCCACCGCCTCCTGATGTTTAACTGGATGGCATGGTCGGACTCTGCGTCGACGCAAGGCTATGTTCTTCAACCACCGCATACTCATTGCTCGATATGCAAATCGCTGTCTTCGTAATACGTCACTACTATCCCGTTGCCAATAATTATTAGTCGTCGTATCTTGGAGCTGGTCACCACGCATCCCCACTTTTGCGCTTCGGACATGGGGACAGAATTTACCTCACCGCGACGTGGGCCCCCCAGCGAGGGCGAGGACGCCGCCTCGTTGCACCCGAATTACCGAATCAAACAGACGTCCCCTTCGCCAAAGTACCCTAGGTTCGTAGCCAAGTTGCACCGGGAATTATTGGAGAGTAAGGTTCGTAATTCAAGAGTTGAAGGAATGGGTTGCCGGGAGCACGTTTCAGGAGATCGGTGCAGTCCTCTGCCTCGAGGCATTTTGCAAGGAACCCCGATCACGGCAATAAGGGTTGGGCTCCATCCGAATTCCTCCTTGATCGGTGTGATTGCCTGTCATGGTCCGGTGGGGCCTACGTTACTGATAGACTCGCCTTTTCTCAGAGATACTATGCGAAAATGCGGCACCATTTGGTGTCGTGCGTCATGGTCATTGATACCCTTGGCAACATGTTA